TGAACATAAAGGTGTATAAATGTTCAGATAGATATATGGGATAATACGAAGTCAGTCAGCAAAAACGTAGAACTTCGTACGTACGTACATCAGTTCAAGTTGTCATACCACATTAGCACACAGATACAATTGTCGATTCAAATCCCATAGTGGTAGAGGTAGTAAAAAGTATAAGTGATAATCGGAAGGATTAGGGTTTGAAGATGTTATTCAAGGAGTATAATACAGTGAAATAAATTTGGAAAGAGAAAAATTAAGGGACATGAAGAATTCAGATTAGAATTTGGGAGAACACAAAGAGTGGATGCACCCGTGTCGTTGCAAACGACTTTAAGCCATGTAATTCAAGGTCTCTAACCATCGGTCGCCATCATCTCGCGGATCGCAACCACGCAGTCTACACCTACCAACATGACTCAGTCCACTTGTCAGCGACTTCATGGATTTGTGCCATGATTTGGTCTGGCCACCCCTACCTTTCTTCCAACCTACTCCTACACCATAAAACATCACTCGTCGAGGCAGTCAGTGGTCGAACATGCGTAACACATGTCCCAGCCATCTCAACTGATGAAGTTTCACCAGTTCATCAATTGATTTGCCATCCTTACCTAGTACCCGTTTCTTAACAACTACATTACTTACTCGATGGTCCCACGATATACGAGCAATGCTTCGAAAATACTAGTAACCTACGAATATCCTCTACTCTTACCGTCCATGTTTCACTGCCATAAAGTAGGACGGAACGAACTGCTGCGCAGTAAACACGTCCTTTGGTTGGTAGACGGATACCTCACATGCACCATAAATGACACAAGTTGGCAAAAGCTAGTCGAGCCTTCTGCATCTGTGCTGAGATTTCGTCACACACCAAAACACAAAGACTGGTGAGACTCCCAAGATAAGTGAAGCGGTCAACACACTCAACTACTTCACTCACTATCATTAGTTCAGGTGCCGATGAAACCCAATCCTGAAGCAACATTTTGCATTTCAAGGGAGAGAATCGCATCCTGAACATGCTTGCGTTGCTGCTTATGGTGGTCAGAAGATTGCATTTTGTCAGCGTCTTCACCAAACAGAACTATATCATCGGCATATTCCAAGTCAACAAGTGAGTCTCTCGGTAAAAGTTCAACTCCCGTAAATGTAGATGAGAGAAGTGTTATCTTTAAAAGTACGCCAACGACAAAGTTAAACAAGAATGGAGAAAGTGGACAGCCCTAACGAACACCACTTGATGTAATCAATTCTGATGATAGTTCGCCATAAGCTCTCACTCGACCAGTTGTGTTTGAGTAGAGAGCCTTTATAAGGTTAATGTACTTCTTTGGTACTCCTTTCAGTGAAAAACACTGAATTGAAGCCTATTTAGCTATTTTATTTTTGAGAAATCCATAAAATTGACAATTACAAGTAAGTGCTTACAACAAATTGACTAATTGATTTTTCTTTATATTCTGTTGTCGATTTCCGAAAGTTTATCAATAAAGAACTGTGCTTCTATTAATTATTTTGGTTTACGGAGTAGTCATGTCTAAAATTATTATTGAAATTATAAAAATCCGAACATATCAGAAGTAAAATTATCACGTCTTTACAACTGAATAGGTACTAGTATTTTTTCACTACAACCTGAGTTGAACCACTGACCCACTTTTTAGAAGATAATAATAGTAATAATCACTTTCAACATGGTTAAGTTCGATTAGTTGAGCTAAATAGAATTTTAAAAAATAGTCAACCAAGTGATTCTCCCTTAGGAGCTCAACAGTCACGTATATATAGCATTATAATTGAGGGTTGGTACCTCAGTTATGGAAATGTTTAACGAAACCTAGAAAAAGGGATCAATCCCTAATGGTTGTGCAGTTTCTAGTGGTCTATCAAGTAGTGTTGATTACTGGAGGAAGCTGTCGTTGAGAAACAATAAACAATACAGTTCAACATGTTGTTTGATTTAACCACAAATACTAAAAAAAAGTGAAGGAAACCTCTTCAACTTACACAAACATCAAGCCCATATTTTTCTTGAGAATATTTACGAATATCGTGATATATACTTTCTTGTAATATACGTCTTTCCAAAGAAAAATCTATTTAATTAGAAAAACATAAACATATTTTATAACACTCAATTGCCTAAAATATGTAGCCACATTTTTTAATATGTGATGAATCATTCGGACCAAGAGATCCACTTTTCATAAGCATATGCTCTTTAGTGTTCACTAGGATTCGTCCTCATGTCCCTTACAGTAATTTTATTTTGAATAAAAGTTCAGTATTAACTTATCCTTACATGGTCATCACTTATTATCAGGTTAAAAGTGAAAAACTGGCTCAATTTACAGGGTGTAGTTCCCGGAAATATCTCCCTAGTTAAAGATATGTGATAAGTGATGTTTTCTTGACGATAACCAGAATTTAAATATATATAAATGATTGATTTCTTGAATGCCGACCTCTATGAAAATATAAACAGAATATACTTTATACGATCGAGAAATGCTTTTAAAAACGTCGAACCCTGTCGGATGATCATGAGTAACAGGAATTTGGACTGAAGTTTGAAGCCCGATTTATCGCCATTCACAGTCAAATCACTTAACTTAGTAATCCCACTAAACAACACAAATTCGATCGATGATGGGTATGCAATATTACGACCAGTAACTTTAAAAGTGGTTATTCTTCTGGATGCACTCCCCGAATGGTTCGGTGTTATTGTTTGGGACTGCAGTGCAAATTGATGAGGGTTAACTTTTTTGATATCCAACTATTAAATAAAAAGGTAAATACATAAATAATTCTCAGGTGTTTGATTTATGTTACCTAGAGATATATAGCATTCAAATTATATACCGGTCTTCATTTCATCAAAAACAGAATAAGTCAAATGTAAAATCACAGAATCTATTCGAAAGCTACAGATAAACGTGATGGGAATTCTATTCACTTCCACAAAACTTATTTAAATTGAAAACTGACGAGATTTCGATCTAGTTGTTTGAATATTTGATAAGAAGTTAACTATTTATCGATTCAGTAAAAAATTGTATACATGTATATTCAAATTTTAGGTATAAAGAATAGACTGGGTTAAATTACTGCAATTTCTTTTGGAAAGTGGTTTTAATCACACGTCAATAAAACCTAGAAAAATCATTTTTTCGTATTCTGGAATTCCTTGTAAATACTCACTCGGGATTCTTATCACATTTGAACAAAAACACAAATCCATTATCGCTTAATGAGAAATACTTTTATAAACTAATAGTATGAAATAAACCGCTACATTTACAGTAAGTTTAATATCTACGACCTCATTTCTAAATATGATTGGAGAAATATTAAGGTGGATGCCTATTGAACCACATATATTTCACTCTTACATGCATAAGTACGCCACTGCACCAAATTGTTTAGTCAGTTTTTATGACAAACATAAATTGTAACTACAGTGTACTATGTGACTGAAATATTTTTTAAAAGATTAAAAGGTATACATTTTCTCACCTGTGTAAGCTGAACAAATGAAAAAATAAATGGTCCTAGGACTGATAACTGGCAATTCGTCAGGTTTTATACGACCTTGACATAATGGTAGTAAATAATTCATTTGTATGTATATATGGTTAATTCGCTTCGGGCCAAATTTATTTTGCTGTTTATCTAGTCAGTAGTGATCAGATTTGATGTTATTCTTATTAGTGAAATAGCAAAAGCAGTGAAAAACCAAAAAGAGAAATAAGCGCGATTGTACACTGTTGTCATAGTGAACTTGATTACTGAGACAACCAATCAAATCTAAATGAAGTTATGCGTTAACCTGATTTGCTAAACGATGTAGATCGATATTTGGCGGAAATTTATTGCAAACGCTTAAAATGCAATACCTTTCGTCTTTGCACGATTTAGCTTATAAAAATTGCACTAAAAGAAAATAAACTTGGAATTATCATTAACAGGACAGCTCAAGAGATATTGGCATTTGCTTGATATAAAAATAACGTTCCTTATCTTGTACGGTCAACAGAATACATGGAAAAACAAAACGTCAGAAGACACGTATAACCACTAATAATATAATTGAGACGTATCTTACTAACAATTAACAGGTTTATATACAAGGACGTAGGGTACATCATCTAAAAGCTACCGAAAACCATAGGAACGGTTGGGTTCCAAAAGAAATTCGTTGTCTAAACAGTGAACTACAGACCCATAATTTAAATGGCATGAAGCAATCGCTTATTTATAAAAGATTTTCGCAGCGTTTTGTTATTTTAAACGGAAGTGAAAACGCTGTTATGTTACTGAGTTAAGTGAAACAGATCACGGTAGAATTTTACGTGAAATAGCTTCTGAAGTGTTGAAAAGAGACGAGAAAAGGAAATAACGTATAAGAATCTATACCCTAGACATGTATCTATTGGGATTTATAAATTAACTTACATAATCACGTGAGTTATTAGTCTGACTAATAAAGGTATTGAACCATTCATCTGTCTTTCACTGGTAATTAGACAACGTGGGAAACTAAGTGGTCTATTGACCGAGTGATGAATACATTAACGGAGCTAATGAATGGATTATCAACAACGTAGGCAAAGACACAACAGGAACAAAAACACTCCTGAGGGAATTCAAGTACAAAATATGGCTGATTTACAGATAAGTGATTCCCATGGCAAAAATAATGATACCAACAAGAACCATAATATCTTATGCAGAAAACCTTCCTTAACAGATTTCTTATTCTATTTTATTTCAAATCCAAAGACTTATTATTCCCTGCTACGTTTGGCGACAGGCCAGCAATTGTTTCTATTTTACAACTACTACAATGTTGTTAACTTTATCGCAGTTAATTAGATTATTAAACGTACTTTTAATGGAAGAGATGTAGCATCTACTATACCAGACTGGATATGATTTATTCATGGCGCCTTTTTGGGATACGTGGCATATTTCCATAGATAACAAAACAATATTTCTTTAAAAAATGTGAATATAATTAAAGCTAAACTGTGAATATTTACAAAGAGGGAAGCAGATCTGGTAAAAAAATTGCAAATAAAAAGGAATTACAAATGAGAATATTTAAAAAAGGAACTCCACTGAACAGAAGTACAATTTCGACGAAAATCATTTAACAAACTGTTAAAAATGCGAAAGGTAATATTATTAGTATACAACGAATTCGATTTCCCTTTAGTCGACTGTTGGATTATACAAAAGTCAGTCACTTGAACAGAATTCCACGACTTTGAATCGAACAATTTCTCGTCTGCCAATAATTTATAAGGAAGTCTTAATGACTGGCTAAGCTTCAGTGGGTCAAATAGAACGAATTTGGCACGACTAATCTGTCCACTTGAAGTTACGGCAATAATAGTCCATTCACCAGGAACAATATTAACATGTTTTTGTACACAATTCATTAAAATTGTGCTTTTAAATAGACTCGTAGTGATATATAGTTCTGGCATAGCCAATGACCGAAGAGTATGTTTATTTTGTATAAGTGGTAATTTGAGTTGTTTCAAACAAGGTATACCTAAAGGATTGATTAAAGTGAATACAACTGAAGTTTTGTATACTTTATGATCAGAATTTCCTTTCCATAATACTAAAATAGTTAAGGTTTCTTGTAACGTTAAAAAACGTGGATAATTACGAAATATTTGTTCTTTGACATCGAAATTTGAACTGATCTACAACATTAGAAAAAAAAACTTTAAAATTATATAGTTCTACAAATATTAATCACGTGAGTTTAACAAAATAAGGCAGTTACATTTCTAACAGGTTATGGTAATTGGGATGCTGTTAAACTATCCAACTATAATATTACCTTCTGGGAACAAACCTTTAACAGACGTTCTATATGATTCATGATTTTTGACCTAGTAAATACATCTAAATTAGTTTACATACTGAACACTACGATAATTTATAACCCTTTAAAACCAGATAAGAATTAACACGAGTTTTGAAAACACGGCTAATTATATTGATACACTGAGCCAATCAAGAACAGGACAAATAATCAGTGACTGGCCAAGGAATGATATTCATTTCCAAGGGATGAGACGTACACTATTAATCGTTTAATTGTTTAAGGGATATGCGTTCACGCCTGTAAACTGGTGTGAATTCTGTAATTATTATTTCCAGAATATATATATCGATTTGGTGTAGTCAACAAACCTCCTTTCCCATTCTCAGTTTTTTCACCCGAGTAGCTGGTTGGGCTTATGTATAGGAAGATTGCGTATCAGTATCAACTCACGGACACAACACATCATAACATATATTTTGATAACTACACTAAAATTTAAGTACAGAAAGATCTCAATTAGTCGTAGTAAATTATGCTCAATAGTACATAGATCCTAGTGATTTGAAACAACCATGCTTTAAAATAAAGACCATAATCTTGAATGTGGTCCACAAGTTTGTTCGTTGGATGTATTCACCAGTAAAATATGATTCACTAGTTTAGTAAAGAAAATAAAATTTTCTTCGCTGATTTGTCTTTTAAAGCAATTAGTCCCTTTTATAAATTCCGACAGAACAATGAGAAGATGGACTTTCATGCAAATAGTTCCCTTTATGAATTTAAATAAAACAAGAACAAATATTGATGCAGAATAGTATGAATTCATAATATTTCGAGGTTTCTCGTAAGCTGCTTACAACCAAATATGTAATAGAATTTTACATGGAAATAAGAAATAGTGTGAAACAATTGACATAAATGAATGTAAATAACTGGAATGACAAAGGTTTACAATAATAACTATATATATATATGCAAGAACAGGTCAAAGGTCATTAGGTGTCATAATCAAAGCAACATTAAGGGTGGATAGTGTAATAGTTGAGTGGAGTTCAGAGACAGATAAGATAAATTGTGTGATAATTTTAGAGGTAATAAAGGATTCATGGAATTAAAAACTGATAAGATAGGTTACGTAATAATTAAATAGAATTTGAAGAGTTAACATAATTTAAGAGGATAAGGTGGTGGAAATGTGTGAATAAAAAGTTGGTTTAAGAATTAGGTAATGGGGGAGGAATATAACACAAAATCAATATTTTAAAATGAATAAATGAATAAAATAACCACATTAACAAGACAAACAAAAGAAAGGTTGGATTACCAGGGTAATAACAGGTTTATTAATGTCTCTTTTTGAATGCATAAGTCCGGTTTAAGTTTTTTTATCGCGATTGCTTCAGCGAAACGGAGAGCAGTCGTACTTCTTTGTTGATAATTTTAAAGACGGTCGGTCGTATGCCCGGTGTCAAGTAGATGCGGGGCTACTGCACTGTTGAGAGTCCCAGTCCCTCGCAGCCTCAGGTTTTTTGGAACATGCTCAGAAATGAGAATATGCACTCTTCTTTCAGTTCTTCTAATGTATGTGCTTTGGCACGTACATGTGAATTGGTAAATGCAGTTGGAGCTACTGAGAAAAGAGGGCTTGTCGATTTTAGTTTGTTTGAAAAGTTACTGACTGACACATTAATAGCTAATCGTTATCCACTAAAATTTATTAATAGGTGCAAAAGTCAGTTAATGTCAAGACCTCTTGTTTATTTAGTTCCAAAGAAAAAAGTTTATATCAATCTACCATATAGAGGTGAATCCAACAGCATAGTTTTAAGACAGAGATTGAAAACAGCCATCGAGAATATCTATTATGCTGCTCAGTTGGTTGTGATTGAAAAGTCTAAGCCCGTGATTCCTAATAGACCCAAACAATGCACTAATGATTGCGTCACATCCCACTGTATTTACCAATTTACATGTTTGTGTGGACACATATACATAGGGGGGAGTAATCGAACAATGCGATCAAGGGTCAATGAACATGTGCCTGGATGGCTTCAAAATCAATGTGTCAAATGATCCGATCAATGTGGGAGGTAGAAAACTAGGTTCATCGATAGCGAAACATATAATTGAAACGGGGCACAAAATTGACATTAATACAGCTTTTAAAACGTTGTATAGAAATCGTCAAGGGCGAATTCTTAAGTTTATTGAAGCCTTGGCTATTCGTAAATGTAAACCCCCCTTATGTGTACAAAAACAATTTGTCGTAACCTTGAATTTACCTTGGCAATCCTTAAGTCATAGCCTAGGATAACGCGACAATTTCTTACTCTTTCTCTCCCCTTTGTTATTTTACTTGAGCTTTCATTTAATTGACCTTTATTAATTTTCATATAAAAATGTCCTGACAAGTATATGTGCGACCAGATTGTTCGAAATGTATAGCGCAAATACATCACATTTTTCAGATAGACTCCATCTCATTGTTTTATCGGAATTCTCTTTTTTCTTATGCAATGACATTATGGGTCATTTTAATTAGCAACTTAGCTTGGAGCTGTCAGATAAATTTAACTAGTACCTCAGTTGACATTGAACAAATCATTATTTAAGACATTTGTATCAAATTGAAATACTTGGGTTTCTTAAATGATAGAGCAGTAAGAATATAAAGTCTATTTGAACTTCGACATAGTATAGAGCCGACAATGTGCATAAATTTATTTCGTATGTAATTTTCTGAAATCTAACGGAAGGTATGCTTGATTATTATTTACGAAAAAGACAATTTATTCGTGATGAAACTAATACCAAAACAGATACAATCAATATTTCTTATTAGAGGTTTGATTCATTTAAAGATAATTATCGTCAGACTGTTGCCAGTTGGATAACTATTGAATAGTTTATTTGTTCAAGGCTGGAAGTGAGACAGATATCCATTGGTGTTATTAGGCGGTAATTCTTCTGTAATGAGAAATTGATTAAAGTTAGAATATATAGATCACCGAATCTTGACTCAGTGTTGTTTTCGACATACAACCTGCATATTCTAGGTAGGTGATGTTAGGAAACGTAAAATCAATCACACTGTGAGCATTAATATCCTTAAATGTTTTTGAATAATAATATCTTTGTAAACAATTAAATCAAAGGGTTCGCTGGTGTAAAGAAATATCACAAGAAACAGGATTAAAAATCCCTCGCTATCGATCTACATAAGAGAACTCAACTTAGATTCGATACTTGCTCTTTAGTATAAATAGTACTTTCATAAGGATAAAAACAATTTTTATTAGTAACGTAATTGTTCTCAGGTTATTTATAAGTAAAATGTATTGTTTTACAAATAATTAGTAGTAACGATCTTTTAAAATCACAGTCTAAGAACAATATACATAGATGGGAAAAAATTACTAAACCATATTTAACTTAAAGCAAAATTGTCTGTCTTCTCCTCTTTGAATATAAAATTATCATTCTATTTATTATTATGTGAATGCAATGATTTTCGCTGCATAATTGGTTTAACAAAGAATATACAATATGAATTAAAACTGAACAACTCACTTCTAGAAACCCAATATCACCGGGTAATAAGTTACTAATGGTATCTACAGTAGTGAAACTAAGTGATGGTGGATGTACCAGGAATTCTACGATAAAGTGGTTTCTATCGTTAATAGTACTCAAATTTGTAAATTCTGTCAGCCGAATTTGTATTACTAATGGAGGTACAATGTTCCTTTTATTAACCCATGTATTCAATAGCTCATTCGACGGAATATGATAGAATTCTTCCCAACCTGTTGCATTGAACAACGCAAAACTATTCAAAAGCGATGACTTTGCATCTATAGACAAATCAATAAAATTGAGTAAGTGAATGGATCAGAGAAAATAATAAATAAGAAAATACAACTGAGAAGTATAACAAACGTCCACATTTAGAGTGGGTGGTTATCATTAAAAAAAAAACAGAAAAAGTAAGCGTAAATTATGGACGGCTACTTTTTTCAGTATTGGGATTGTCCAGAAATGTGAGTGTTGTTATGTTGTAATTTACAAATCACTCATTTCTGTTAGGTGACATTTATCACTATTAGAAAAATGCATTTAGTGAACAGGAGAAATAAATTAAATTAGGTTCTAAAGGATTACTGTAAACCATCAATGTAGTTAAGTCAATAGTGAGGACACAAAGTTGTCAAATATACCATAAAACAACCACGTTTTATTGCTAATTTAGTACTCTAAAAATAAATAAATGTCCAAAAAAGGTATTGCATGGTGAAATCTCAGAGTGAATGCATGTATTTTCACAAACAGCATGTAAAAAAGAGGTAGGAACTTTTTACAATGTTATTGATCTATACGTCAATACACTATGCCTAGCCTTCATAATTCATCATAAATACAGCTAACATCCTGCATATTAAGAAAACTATGTTCGTTGAAATCGTCAAATCATTGAAAATCAGATAAACACACCTCAACTTACACAACAAATCAGGATTGTAGTTAGAATTTCGTAAAAATTGATACATTAGTTTCTTTGATAAACACTTCAAAGCTAAATACAGTGTTTGTCGATGTGGATTCTCTATTAATGAATCCTCCTCTTTTGAGTAGATATTTTCCAAATAATAGTTATCGTTACGCAGGTTAACTGAAACAAAAGAAAAAATTGGACTGATAAATGAAGAATCAGCATTGCTATACTGGACGAACTCAAAAGGGTCATATCTTGTCGTAAGTACACAGTAAGGTGAGTTATTTATTTATTTGAACACATAAATATTGGTACAAGGGGAGACCAAATATATATGCACCACACAAAACAATGGGAAGAGAAAAAAGAAGGTAAGGAGCGTATAAGAGAAGAGAAGAACAATAGAGACCACAGATTAGTGTAAGGTAGTGTAGTAATAATAATGGGGGAAACGGAAAGGTACAACCAGAAGAATTCTTTCAGTTAAGGAAGATACAACCACTTTTTATAAAGAAAGTAAAAGAAGGTTACAGCAGGATCGCCACTGGCTTCTATTCTAAGCCATATCTGATAATGTCTCTATCCAATGTGTTGGACCATCTCTCGGACCCCAGCCCTTTGCAGCTTTCTTTCACACCAGACACCATGTTATACACTAACCACCTCGTAAGGTTAGTGGTGCAAGTGCGGGGAGGTGAACTATTCACTTATCTAAAGTGATCCCACCACGTTTCTGCATGGACCAGTTCGACAAATTACATTGACGGAGTTGTGTTTATTATGTCTCCCGCTCTGGTTAGCCGGTTGATAGAGCACTTAAAAGGATGCATTAACAACCAAAATCGGATCTCAGGATACAATAAATATACTACGCAAATTCTGCAGCTTGTTTTACAGATTGAATGGATTTAACTATAGTCTGGGTAAAAAGTAGACTGAACACAGCTGTTAGATTGCTATCCCAACTTCCAGTTAAAATGGAGGGAGGAACTTTACATGAATTTTTTCTACAGTTTTGTATTAAGGTACATAAGGTGAAATACAGGCTAACATTTTAAATGATATTTGAAGCTTATCTATACGTCAAACACGATCGAGACATTGCTAGCGTAAAATAGTTACTGATAATTAGAAAAACAGTCAACAAAATATAGTCCACAAAAACTGAGGACAACTTTTATGAGATTTATGTCTAATGCATATAATATTTGGAAAAGAGAGGATAATTTCAATGGGTATTTCTGATTTCTAGCCAAAAACTATAAATTTCACTGAACTAATAGAATTATTTCTCCTTAAATTAATCAAATCTATCCAAATGCAGTTACATCAAAACCCATATACGTTTATATTTGAATAATTTAACTCATCACTATGATATCAAAATAATTTGGACGAAAAATGAATCTTGAACTAGACTACCTGCTCCATCGGAACGCTCTAACAATTTATATACAACAAAATTTATTATCCCCAGATCAATAGTTGAGTCAAATTTGCGAGCAAAAAATAATGGCTGTAATCCGTAATCTGGCTTTAAACACTTCCCGGTTAATTCACATAAAAGTTCTGCATCTTTTGGTCCGTTCAATGCAAGTGGAGAACAACCACACCAATCAACCACACTGCCATATTTACAGCCACAACCTTGTGGTCTTTTCCAATTGATAAACCGTAGATAATGATTGATGACTGAGGTGCAAAAGTGAGTGTTTTGCGCAACAGTATGAAAAAAGCTCTGTAAGTAAAAAGATATAAATAGATATATTAAAAAACCCCCACGGTTTTTGGTCTAAAATGAATCGGCTTGATATCGTACTGGATGGCTGTTTAAAACAAAGCATGATTGGATAGGATGACCTTGCAGCATTTCAGATAATCGTCTGATGAAACAACACATTGAAGCAAAACTAACAGAAAATGAATCACATAAATTTTAAGATGACGAAGAATTAGTGGGACCAGCACGAAAAATTACCTTAGATTATTTTGTATCACTATTAGCCTTTCTAAAATCCATTCAGCTTTATTCATTACACTTCCATCAGTAAGATGATTTAATTGCTGTGGTAAGAAACCTCCTGAATTAGTTATGGAATTAACTTTTTATGTTAGATAGTTCTCTCAAGATGTAGATTCATCTTACTAAGGAGCTGAACCTTTCCATTTGATTTTGACATTAAGTGACGAATCGTACTTCACACTGGGACATTTCAAAGGGTTCTTTTGTCACTTTACCACCCACAATCAAGTGGAAAAGCTGAACATTTCGTCCACACCTTTAGATAAGCGCTGCAAAAATCAGAAGATAGAAACTGGTAGAAAGTTTACAAAGTTTCTTATCTGCATGCCACACTAGGCCTAATGACACGGCGCCCGAGAAATTGTCTTCAGCGGAAGCCTTCATCGGTAGAAAACTAAAAACAACTCACTATCTCATGATGCTTTCCCAAAATCCCAAGTTTACACACTAGTGTTTCTCCGTGACTACCTGCCTAACCATAACTGAACAGAAGAGTATATAGCCAGAATCCAAATAATGGTACTGTACAAAGTAGTTGTGGGTAAGGGTCGATGGACTAAACACTACTCACCTGTGCATAGGAAATATTTCCGGGCCGCCCGCAAACAATAAAGTACCTCTGAATATCTTTCTAGATACTTTCAGTCAGTGAAACCTTTGTATTAATTATTCTAGTGTGACTTTTCATCCATTGATAAGGATATTCATTTGTTTCAACTTTGTGTGGTATTCGTTCAGTGAAACAATTTCCTTCACTAGTAGTTAGCACATGTAATGTATATATAAATGGGAGAGTTTAAATAGTTAATCTTTGGAATTATATATTTATTTATTATTAGCTTTATTTTGTTGTGACTTTAAGACCGGCTTATTATCACGTGACTTATTAGCCAATTGAAATAAGACTTATGTAATCCTAGCACTGTCTAACTAATTACTTATCGACCAGCATGAGCAACCTAGCGTCCTCATTGGTCCTTTGTTCGCCTAGCCCTGTCAGTTGAGTCCAGAATGCCAATAACAGCTCCCACTATGCGAATCATTTATTTCAGACATAATCGCTTTATATACAAGCCAAACGGACCATATCACACAATAAAATAGGAAATAATATTTGTTAAGATCAAGCCAAAAAGTGGCTGTGAACGTGGGAGACTGTAATCAATAAACTGAACGGTAAATCGTATAATAGTCTATAAGTCAAAATGAAGCTTACAATAAGGGGAATAGCGATATACACAATCTAGTTACTGAACAGTTATACAATAGGAATATATGTAATATTAGTCTACTAATAGTTCTCAGAAGTTACCCGTAATTTAATCTTCACTAGGATATAACATATCAATATTATATTTTTGGTACAATATAAAATTCTCAGCACAAAATATTTCAACACGTTTCTGTTTCTTGGTCGATCTTGACGATAAATGTTGAGTGGTCGCCAGTTAGAAGTTAACAGTCAAGTAAATCGACATCTAAATAATGTACATTCTTTTCGCTGCATATTGCCAGCAACCACGATATCTCCGATTGGGTCTTTGTAACTTGTACAACGAAAGGTTGTACACTTTTCAGAAACGCACATAGGTTTGCCTTTTGGAATAGACGGGGCTGGAGAAGAATAGAAGCTTAGGTATCCTGGTACCAATGTGTAGTTGGAATTTATCATTGTTATCACAAGTCATAAAAGAAAGTTGTCATTTTTTAAAGAAACAATGAAATAACATCGTCTAACAATTAACACATGTTTACGAATGTTAGCGACGGTTGAAGACAAGTGGCAGGAAGTCACTGATCTAGGTTTTTTGTTAGTCGGCAGTTGTCATCAAGGGGAATCATCGATCTTGAGGGAACCACCTAATATCAAGCCAAGTGAATCGCTATGCTAAGTCACTTAGAATGAGAACAATACTGAGACCCAGTCGATAGAATTAGACAAGAATTAGATGACATTACATCAGTTACGACAAGTGATCAGGATAATATGGAGGGTGGAAAGATGTATGAAGAGACATCGGAACAAAGACAGAATAAGAAAATATTCAAAGTTATACAAGACCACTTTATTTATTTGCTGTACGTAGAAACTGGAACAAATGGCCACCGAAAATGGTATGTGCTATACAAATAGCATCCAGGTTAGTTAGAACATTACTGAAATCTGAATTTACCAAAAATACTAATCTAATTAATAAACATCGTTCATAAGAATTAAAATGATGCTCAACAAAATGCTGGATGCCTAATTTTGTTTTGCTATTTGAGCTAGTAGTGAAATCTCACTGCGTCGCGAATGAACTTTATGTTTGTTGTGATGATGAAACTGCAGAAAGGAAATCAATTCACCCGGAGACAAAAAGAATATTTGAATTTATGAATCGATTTAAGCTAGACCACCGTTGAAAACCTGGAAACACTGGACAGCCGCTTCGTCCTAGTACGGTCATCCAGTGTTTTCAGGTTTTCAATAATGGTCTATCTTAAATCGACTCACGAATCCAACTACCAAAAAATTACTACAATCCCCACAAACCCCCATTCTAATAAAAAGAATAAACAAGTGCACGTACATACTGATAATCGATTTGCATTTATTGTATGACTCGTTTGTTACAATCAACATTGAGCATGATACAAATGTATGTTAGACCAAGCTGCTACACCAAATCAGCAAAACGAGGTAAAATAGACAAGATGGATAATAATTGAGTATTACTAATATTTGACGAGGATAAATATTAAAAATATATCAGAAGGGGTTTTGTGGAGATTGTAGTAATTTCAATAGTTGATATCATGAGTTAATTGAAGCTAGACCACCATGGAAAACCTGGAAGCACTGGATAGCCGTTTCGTCCTATTATGGGACCCCTCAGCAGTGCGCATCCACGACCCCGCCTCGCGGGATTCGGACCCAGGACCTATCAGTCTCGCACCAGGCGCTTAACCAACTAGACCACTGAGCCGGCACCCAACGGTGTTAATGTCTAACTTCAACTAGTCAACGGAATTGAGCGACACATCTACCATTGTCATCAGTGAGTTACTACCTCACAACTGACCCGGTTGAACTCCACTGGTCACTGCTTCTCACTAGAACTCCAGGATATATCTCTTGAAGCCAGTCTAGCAATCAGTGGTTTTATGGATTGATGATACGTTTTAGTTTAGCTGCCCCTGGCATTTTCCCAACCCACTTCTACTCCCTCCAGTAGTGGAAATGGGGGTAAGTGGTGGTTAGGTATACGTCTCGGTTACTCCAATCTATGAAGATTCACAATTTAGGACTAAAAATATTTGTTATCCGACCTCCCAAACGAAAATGAACGTTTCGGAATCTAAACGCTCGACCTACTGGTTTACAATTGAATCATCAACACCATTTGGGGGACATGTTAACATTACGAAAAATACTAAGTATAAAACTTACACTATCTTTGTATAAAATATACTTACCTCAACTGGTAGCAAACTATAGCGGAAGTATTCCTTGATATCGCGTAATAAATTAGCATCACTGTAAATAACATAGTCCACAAATATTTTAGGCAGTATCATCCAGTCAGAACCACCGTCTAAAATAATTCCAGATGGGACCGATCGTTCACCTAGGTGCCATACATATGAGTCACATTCGAGGAATAACTGACCAAAACCTTGATTTCTTAAGAAACTAGAATGATAACAGATGAAAATTAGGAAAGCCTTTACGGCATTAACTGGGCCAAATACGAATTTCATGCTGAAACTGTCAAACAGTGTTTTATAACATGTAACACCGATTAAATTGTTGCTTAAAACGGAATTTCTAAGGAACGAATAGTATCAGTGGGAGATAATCCTTTACTGTAAGTTGACAGAATATGTTTAATAGAACTGTATGCAAACGTAAGCTGTTGCTTGTCAAATAGTTTTATTTTAAATGTAAACAAGCAAATTAGAAACAAAAGGTTAACCTGTCAATCAAAAAACGAACACTTGTGTCCGCCGTAAGAGCAGTTTTATTTTAGTTATCAGAAATTTAATCTCACTCAAACGGATGAAATACTAGAACGTTTCAACAACTGATTTCAAATATTCATAATTAGTGGGGACCGTTGTTTGCTGAATGGTGTAACTTTATGATCAAGTCACACAAATGGAAAATAACCAACGCTATAATGTGTAGCGCTATGTGAAGACAAAACAGGAACTTGATTCATTTAAGATACAGACCACAAACATCCTAATACTGAAATGAATCGATTCTATTGATATGTGCAAAGTTAAGGAAAACTGTACCAGTTATTGTATCAACTTTATTGTCTTAACTCTTAATTTATGAATGCTTATAAGTACTTTGCCATTCCTAAGGGTTTCTATGGTTAAAATTACTAAATTTCTCCTATATGAGCACTTCAGAATGGTGAAGGTATATTTCGAACAAGAAATGCTTGTAGCACCGTTTTGAGATTCAAGTAATGACAGATATCCATTGACTAGTGATAATAATCTGATTATAGAAGAGTGAAGTGATAATGCTTAGTGCTTAATGGTTGAAGATAGTTTGTAGGAGAACTAGTATAAAGTCTACAACGAACTTCTATAATTGTTAATACGCTTATATGTTCTCATCAACAACTGAAAAGCACTAGTCATTAATAAACTATACATGTAACAATGCTGTATTCCCCATCCATGAAAGGTGATTTTGAAGTCTTAATCACATGAGATATTGCACATCGAAACGGTCATTAGATTATTCTAAATTTACAAGTGTATCAGATGATAAATTACCTTTGCCCAGTATGACTGAATGAGCGTAGAAAAATTTTATCCCGATTGTGACTCAAATAGGTAACCAGTTCATGATTAGGTCTGTGTATTTAAAAAAACAATAAGATTAAAAAAAAGCAAATTATTCAGATATCCACTGAATGATCGGTTTCACCATTACGAAAATAATCGTAAAATATATCCACATAAAGTGTAATCTGCTAGAATTATAACACAAAGAAGGATGGTGGGGAGTATAATAAAACAACAATAAACAAACTGCTGATTCTAGTGTTCTTCATACCTAGTACTGTTTTAAGATAATCAAAATAAAGGGCAGTTGTTTCAATCAACAAATTGGAGTGATAACATAATAATGCTGAGATCTCTCTACTGTATCCAAATATATAGTATTAAATAAAATGATTATTACCAGTATACTAATTTTATCAGTTACATAAGTACTAACTCATGAGTATTTTAACGATGAAACAAAAAATATCACCTGATAGGCAAATCGCTTTCACTCAAGTTGATCACAAAGTCCCATTCCCAATCACTCATATTAAAGGATAAATCTTTTAATGATGACAAGAACATATCAAGTAGACTTTGTCCACCCCATATTGGCGAAAACCGAGTAGATGTTAGGTAGACATTTGACGGGTAATTTCCAATAAAAGATTTAACCATTGTGTACAGATAACCACATCGCTAAAATAGAGAATGGTTTTAGATAGTAATGTGAAACGAATATTCAAAGTACATTTTAAATGAAGGTTATAAATAATTAATGTCAAAAACTTAAGAGGTATAGATAAATATCAGAAGGGGTTTTCGTGGATATTATAGTAATTTCAATAGTTGATATCATAAGTCAATTGAAGCTGGACCACCGTCCAGTGCTTCCAGGTTTTCCATCGTGGTCTAGCTTCAATTAACTCATGATTTCAACTATTGACATATAGATAACTCCCAATAAGGTGTAATAAGGAATATAATTTACCTTCAAAGCACACATTGAAGAACAGTTTAACGGCACTCCAGCTACCTTTCATTTGCCTACTTTCACCATGAAACCTGAATGGGATGTCAACATAAGCTTCACAACTCTTAATGAAGTAGAAAAAGCAATAGTTAATCTAAAATGACAAAGAGCAGCATGCTCTGATCGATTGACCTCGAAGATCTTTAAAGATGGTAGTTCAGTTTCAGCTGTTTGATTGACCGAGATCTTACTTGGAGTCTGGGAACTGAATGGTTTTAATTACTGATCACTCCAGTTCATAAGAAAGAATAAAACTACTTTTGTGATGACCGTATAGGGATAGGTTTGACTAATACAGTGTTTAGAATATTAGCGTTAATAATAATAATCAAACACTTGACTAGGGTTCGTGAGGAGAAAATCAGGCTGGTTCTAGGACTAGACGTGGATTTACCCACTGAATATTTGCCCTTTGCCAGATTTTGGACACAGACATATCTACCGACCTTAAATCATAGTCGCATCTCTTGACCTTAAGGCAACCCTTGATGTTGTGGACCGATAAACTTTATAGCAGTCCTTCAACGAAAGGTGTAACGAATAAGTACATTAACCTTGAACAGACTCTCCATTGGACAGTTACTAGTTGAGACAGAGCTTATGATGAACTGTCATCGGAATAGATAATTTTATGTAGTGCTCATCGGAGCTGTCCGCTTTCCCATTTTTATTTATCTTTGCCTTAAGCATTCTTTCAGAGACAACACATTCATTACCTGACTTTTTGGGAATCAAACAACCAGATTCTTTTGTTGACTTATAGTTTGCAGATGACGGTGAAATATGGGCAAGATATCCATTTGGCAACTAAAAGACGAATGTACCGAGCAGCTATTGGCTCTGTTCTACTTTATTTCTGTAAAATTTGGCCGCTAAAATTAGAGGATATTCGTAGGTCACTAGTATTCGATCATAGGTGTGTTCAAAGAATCGCTCGTGTTTCGGGACCATTTAGTTAGCGCTTCTGAGGACGGACGCATAGTGCTAGGTAAGTGTGGCACATAGACTTATGAGGTAGTGAACCTTTACCCAATGAGATGGTCAGGTCATGTATTACGCAAGCCCACCCACCGACCACGTCGACGCGCCACGATGGCTGGTGTGTAGTAGGTTGGAAAAAAGCTGAAAATTTTCAAAGACGTGGCGTCACTCGACGAAGACAATCACTGTTGAGCTGAGTCATGTAGATAGATTCAGACTACTTGTCTAACGTCCGCGTGATTATTGACACCAATGGTTGTAGACCTTGGATGACATTACTCAAAATCGCCCGCAATGGCGCAGGTGCATTTACTTTTATTTTTTCCTTAGATTCTAAATTCTTCAAACAACTTTTGTCGTCACTAATTCATATTTTCCTTTTTGAATCATATCTTCTATGTCCAATCTTTCGACTAACATCACTGTTACTACCTAGCTCTGACAGTTTCATCTCGCTGTTCTAATCGGGTATGCCAACCTGAACCGATGTACAAATGTGCAAGATTCTACATTGCGTATAACTGACTGACTTTAGAGCATGCACTTAGAAAACTACTCTGAAATCGGTATAAAAACCCTATGATAAATACAACAAGCAGTAACAGCCAAAACTTTAGGATCCTTAATTATGATTTCGCTTTGTCTTTAAGCGTATATATTTAGTTCACTTCTATTCAGTGAGACAAATATTTACGATTCATTTTAAAGAAGTACATGTCACTGACAAGTGGACTGAGTCATGTTGGTAGGTGTAGACTACCTGGTTGGGGACCGCGAGATGATAGCAACCGATGGTTAGAGACCCTGAATGACATGGCTCAAAATCGTTTGCAATGGCGCAGGTGCATCCACTCTCTGTGCTCTCTCAAATTCTAACCTTCTGAATTCTTCATGTCCCTTTTTTCCTCTTTCCAAATTTATTTCACTGGATTATACTCTTTAAATAACATCTCCAAACCCTAATCTTCCCGATTATTGCTTATACTCTTATTACCTCTACCACTATGGGATTTGAATCGACAACTGCATCTCTGTGCTAATGTGGTGTGGCAACTCGAACTGATGTACGTACGTACGAAGTTCTACGTTGTTACTGACTGAGTACATGTCAGCTTGATACGATGCCCTAGTATTAGATCTTGATTGGAGAATGAGAGACCTACAAGCTAATTTACTTCAATTACCTATGAAATTTTGGTGTTTTTACTTTGTGTCAATATTCTGTATATAAGCATGCTATCTCATTATATATACCTGGTAAGTGGTCATGTTTTGATTTCAAATCACTTGAGCGCTTGAGAAGGAACACCAATACAGAACAAGCACAAGTTAATATTACAAACCCATAGAGACGGAAAAAATGCCTTTCAAACAGTAATTACTAACCGCATCCACATGAATGTAATAATAATGTCGAGTGTTGTATATTAGCTCGAACATTCGACGGATATGGGGCCAACTCCTTCCATTCCAGACAAGTAGATAGACTATCCTTACTGGTTTCGAAGATACTAGGTCGATAAGACCAGACTTAAGAGAAACTGAAAATAGAGATATTAAATGGCACTACAATACTCGATAGCATTCTTAAGAACTTACATTACAATGCAATGTCAAAGTACAGTAATGGAAATTAATATCACAAATCCCGCTTGGTGAATGGTGGGTCTTAAATTGGCGAACGAAGAAAAATGAAATTCTGTTTAAATCTACGTTCATGGCACCTAACTTGGCTAAACTCCACCTTTAGCCCTTCTAGGGTTACTGTCGGTCTCAATCCCATGGACACTTGTTTCTGCCTCTTAAATTAAGCAGACGTGATGAGTGATGAGACCAATTATGACTAAAATATTATCATGATAGGTAATGTTGGTCAAATCTAGATTAATTTGATGAAACTCATCAGCTAAGATCAAGTACACGAACCTTTCGGTCATATATTTTTGTAAGCTAATGACGCTACCAGAATGCCTAAACTAAAGCAGATAGAGCGATGTTCGAATACGTAATCCGATGCGTGAAAGTCCAGTAATGATGAACACTGGAATATGTGAGGCAAAAACCCGGGAAAAACCTTAAAATTATTTTGAAACTAAGAAATAAGTTTATCTGTGTTCGAAAGGAAAACTAAAAAATTCATTAGTTTTTGTTCGTGTCATTATTTTTACAACTAGCTTCTTTAAATATACAATGTCAGTACATATTTTTCGATCCATCCTAATCTCACTGTCTGGATATTGAGTGACTGAATAATGAAGACAACAAAATAAACTTGTGTAAAAGAGCATATATCATACAGAAAATTATTTATCAAACACACACAAATACGCCATACCAGAAAATAACAAAATTACTAGAACTTACGAGGAACAGGATGCCAAGGAGGACTTGCCTTTGTCGCATAAACCCGGACCGGGACTGGGTCAGGACAAAGCGGATGATTATTAGGACCGAAACCGTGTCCTTCAAGAGTGCAAGTGATGCTACATTGAGAAAGAGGGATGCTTCTTGATTCATTCGGTAGCTGCATCATACACCAGCACGTATGACTAGGACCTAACCATGAATACGCTATGCCCAGAGAACGACAGATGCTCAGACAATCATTATCATTCTTGTATTCACTCGACTTAACGAAGTTAAGTTCACTGTGACGGATGAGGAAGCAGCCAAGGAAAGACGGTTGTTCGCTAAGGTTACCTGAATATTAAGAAAAAAATATTGCGAAACACAAAAGTCTAAACGGCATCTAAGCTGATATTTGGTGGAGAGGGAGTAAAACGGTATATATAGCATAGAAGACATATCTTGAAAAAGTTAATATTAGAAGTCAATATCACAAGGGTACTGCGCTTGCTGATAATTGTTAAACACTAAAATAAGCCCAGTGGCAGTACCCTGGCCCTCACACAAACCGAATGATCTATGTGCCTTCTTGCACTTATATATGTCTATCTCTATCTCCATGAAATTGAATCACTTGCCTTCGTAAAATGAGTGATTAAGCGGACGAATCTTAAACTGCAGAAAACCTTTGTGAATTACTTAAGACAATGATATATTTTACCATTAGCTGGACACTTAACCAACAATTAGATACCAAGTAACAGGGAGCTAAGTAAAGAAAAAAGTTAAAGAGAAAACGAATATTTAATATGATTAAGCTTTACCTTGAACATGGCAAAAGCTGCTAGAAAAGCTTTCGTATGTAACAGGAGAACAACCTACACCAATAAATATTTGTTTGCAGCTTTCTGAATTTGTGCGGTTGTAAGCACTCCAAACGTATTTATTACTGCGAAGACACTTTGTTATTTTATTTAGGCTACCATTTTTGTTTGTACGACTTGAAATTTCGACGGTCTTAAGAGAAAACGATTAAGAATATACAAGTGTAGCTTACAGACAAGAACGGACTTTTGAAAACATATACATACAGCTGAATATAAAGCTGTATAACCACGAAAATACAAGTAAATACGTAACAAACAACCATACGTTGTCTGGATACAGCTGATATCATTATAAGTTAGGTAAGATGCCATCTTAAATGTGTAGTAACGGATACATTTCAAAATACCGCGGTAGGCTACAAATGGATCAAATGGTTTTGGATGAAATAGAAAAAGCTTGCGCTTAACGGGCTTCCGTATCTAGTGGCAGTGGATCACTAATACCTGCAGGTAGGAATTCAATTATATTATCGATGAATAAGGAAAAATAAATTGGCAAATCATAGTAAGCTACTGTCTTCAGTCTTTAAGAATCAGTTTCAGTTTGGAAAGGACAGGAAGCTTGATGGACTGTGTTAGTCCTGGCAACGATGGTCTCTTAGTTGATTTAACCTCCTTTTGAAAGAGTCAATGGATGGGTCCTCAACCACATGCTGAATTAATGAATACTACGCGTTGATGATTCGATGGGAAAGTCGATAGTCAACTGACAGGTAATTTGTCTCGGGCTTGTTAACATTTTTGGAGCGTCCTCGTAGATTCTCTGTTTCCGAAGACAATAAAAATGAGGGCGTGTCGGGTGCAAACTTATCACCAAGCAATTCAAAATCTGTAATCAAGTCGCCTCTAGTTCTTCAATATGACAATGAATAGGTTTAGCTTGGCCAGTCTAGCATCATACGAGAGCTTCTCTATTCCGGGAATCACCTTAGTTGCAGTTCTCTGAACCTTTTCCAAAATTTTATTGTTTTTTTTAAGCAGGGGCTAGGCGCTTTTATGCAGTACTCAAGTTTGAGACGTACGAACAATGTATACAAAGTCAAAAAGGTTTTAGCGTTGACACGACTAAAAGCCCTACGTACTGGCCATAAAGTCTTAAAACTTTTGGCGGCTATTGCACGGCAGTATGCAGTAGTCTTTAAGTCTTGGCTAACGATGACTCCTTAGTCATTGTGTGTCTGGACAACAGGTAGCTCAGTGTTATTGTGTATGACCGATATGCATCGCAATACACTTGGAAATATTTATTGGCAACTGCCAGGTTTGAGACCATTCAGATAATTTCTCCGGGTTATTTTGGAGCTCTAAACTATCATGTTTACCTTTTGTCACTCTCTTTGTCTTTACATCGTCAGCACGTAGCAAGACCGATGATGATATTAGGTGAGGAAGGTCATTTACATACAAGAGGCACTCCACTAAGCACAGTTCCCAGCTAGATAAGTTTGAGTTCACCCGTGCTCGTTGTTGGCGCCCAACCAGGAGGTCTTTTACCTACATCAATAGATCGCCTCCACTTCCGACATTTCTTAGCTTAAACAACAGCCGGTTGTGCGAAACTTTGTCAAAAGCTTTGCTGAAGTCAATGTAGGCTACATCAACAAGTAACTTTTGGTCCTTAAGAGCTCACTAGCGTTCACGAGAGACTAATAAGTTAGTGAGACAAGAATAACCTATTCTAAAACTATGCTGCTTTTCCGAAGAGATCCGGTTTTCATCGAGGTACTCAAACAGCTCCTTCTGAATAATCTTTTCTAAGATTTTAACAGTCACACTAGTTAGGCTAACGGGTCGGTAATTCTCAGGTTTATGTTTCGTACCTGTTTTAAAGGCAGGACTTACTATGGCGTTCTTCCAGTTTTTTGATAAACGACCTTGGGTTACGGATAGATTATAGCATATACTTAAAGGGTTCGCAACGAAGTTAGATAATTCCTTCAGTAGCCTAGCATGCAACTCATCGGGCCCAGTGGATTTACCTACGTCAAGCTTATTCAGCATATCAAAAACATCGAGATCTTTAACGGTCACGCTGTCCAGTGTTTGTGTGGGGGAATTTGTATGGACTGGTGGAAAGGGTGTTTCTATGGTATATAGATTGCTAAAGTAGTTTGAGAATATTTGGAAAACTCTAGTTTTGGCTTCATGAAGAGAGAGTGCATAACGGAATAAGCTCTTCGAATTATAGACAAATTTATCCATAAGCTTTATCTGGTACTGAAGCCTGTCTTCCTTTATAGCCTTCGTGGATATGTTCCAAATATGTTTGTATTACCTATACGCCCCATTATTGTCAGTTCCTTTGTATTCTGCCCAACAATGCCTTTTGAAGCTTAGCAGGCGAAGAGTGAGGTTTTTGATTATTTTAGGTTGCTTGTAGCTTTTGGGGACCGTTTGAGGAACTGACTGCTTTGTAGCACATAAGAGCGTGTGCAGTAAGAAGTCCCAATGAGTATCCACATCAAGTTGAGGGTAGATAGTCCTATAGAGCTGACACATTCAACCGTTTGAAATTCCAGCGCCTGTTGTCAGCGAGATATCTTAGCTCAGTTTTGCTGACAAAACTGAAGGCTATAACGACGTGATCGCTTTTTTCCAGGGGAGCCAGGATTGAGAGGTTTTAAACTAGAAATTCTTCGTTTGTAAATACCCAGTCTAAGCGTGACGGTATCTGACTGTCTCTCCAACAAGTTGCGGACTTCACATTTTCTTATAATCCCAGACCCTCAATAAGACTGAAGAACCAAGCTTCAGTAGAGTTTCCACCTTTAATATGGGTATGTTCCGTGAAATTGGCTCTAGGAAGATTAAAGTATCCTAGAATTAAAGTATGTATGTATCCGAGATGAGCAGAGTAGGACAACCCCTCCAGCATACGATTGTCGTGCTCCATGTCAGCGATGGGTCTCCTGTAGATGACTCCAATTAGACAATCTTATTGAGCAACATATGGATTTGTCAAGTTTGATAAACTTTTGGTTATGTACTTGATTTAACTCTAGACAAGATAGCAAGTAAAAGGCTACTCCATCCTCCATTTTTGTTTTTCTGTCATTGAGAAATAAAAACATGACATGTATTGCTAGCTCCTTGCCCATAATTTGAGAAGATATCCATGTTTCAGATATTTCTATCAGATAAGCTCTATTAGTATTACTGAGTTCACGCAGCTCATCTATTTTATTCGGTAAACTCGTGGCGTTCATGTATGAACAGTTCATGCTTTTGATTTGAAATGCGGATTTTACGGGACGTTCCAAGCATTTGCGCACATCGGTATTTCTGAACAAAAGAAGATATCTTGTACAATTAACCGTCACCTTCCTGAATACATGGAACTATTAGAGTATTATGTCGTCATGTCTATTCATAGTCAGTACTACGGAAATTTTATTCGCTGTCCAATCCAACAGAAACAGTCTTAAGTATAATCGTTCACTCGATGACAACTGTAGTTTCGAAAGATTTACAGAAATATATCCTTCCGTGCAAGGGTCAGTCAGTCAGTCAGTAACAACGTAGAACTTCGTACGTACGTACATCAGTTCGAGTTGCCACACCACATTAGCACAGAGATGCAGTTGTCGATTCAAATCCCATAGTGGTAGAGGTAATAAGAGTATAAGCAATAATCGGGAAGATTAGGGTTTGGAGATGTTATTTAAAGAGTATAATCCAGTGAAATAAATTTGGAAAGAGGAAAAAAGGGACATGAAGAATTCAGAAGGTTAGAATTTGAGAGAGCACAGAGAGTGGATGCACCTGCGCCATTGCAAACGATTTTGAGCCATGTCATTCAGGGTCTCTAACCATCGGTTGCTATCATCTCGCGGTCCCCAACCAGGTAGTCTACACCTACCAACATGACTCAGTTCACTTGTCAGTGACTTCATGGATTTGTGCCATGATTTGGTCTGGCCACCCCTACCTTTCTTCCAACCTACTCCTATACCATTGAACATCGCTCATCGAGGCAGTCGGTCGTTGTGCATACGTAACACGTTTCCCAGCCATTTCAACTGATAAAGTTCCACCACTTCATCAATCGATTTGCCATCCTTACCTAGTACCCGTTTCCTAACAACTGTGTTACTTACTCGATGGTCCCATGATATACGAGCAATGTTTCGAAGACACCTATGATCGAATGCTAGTAACCTACGAATATCCTCTACTCTTACCGTCCATGTTTCACTGCCATAAAGTAGGACGGAACGAACTGCTGCGCAGTAAACACGTCCTTTGGTTGGTAGACGGATACCTCACATGCACCATAAATGACACAAGTTGGCAAAAGCTAGTCGAGCCTTCTGCATCTGTGCTGAGATTTCGTCACACACCAAAACACAAAGACTGGTGAGACTCCCAAGATAAGTGAAGCGGTCAACACACTCAACTACTTCACTCACTATCATTAGTTCAGGTGCCGATGAAACCCAATCCTGAAGCAACATTTTGCATTTCAAGGGAGAGAATCGCATCCTGAACATGCTTGCGTTGCTGCTTATGGTGGTCAGAAGATTGCATTTTGTCAGCGTCTTCACCAAACAGAACTATATCATCGGCATATTCCAAGTCAACAAGTGAGTCTCTCGGTAGAAGTTCGACCCCTGGAAATTTAGACGGGGAAATTGTTATTTCTAAAAGTACGTCAATGACAAGGTTGAACAAGAATGGAGAGAGTGGACAGCCCTGACCAACACCACTTGAGGTAATCAATTCTGATGACAGTTCGCCATAAGCTCTCACTCTACCAGTTGTGTTCGAGTAGAGAGCCTGTATAAGGTTAATGTGTAGAACTATGGTCTACTATGATATTAGTACTGCTCTAATAATAGACCTAATCCCAAAATTGTCGATTTGTCATGATATAACTGCCTAATCTATAAGATCTTACGTGGAAGTCACACCATCGACTACACCAACTCACTGTATCGTATCAATTACCAATACATGATGAGGAACAAGGTTAGGCTAGAGAAAGAACAATATATTTAATATGAATAGAAGATATAAAGTAACACTGAGATGGACCACGCCTGCATGGACGAGCCATGCCACTCGATCAACTCCAGTCCAATCAATTCATTCTCCGCGCCTTCTCCATTGTTAGGTATTTCTCCGTGTTAAATATTGAATATCTATTTTCTGAGTAGTCTTGTGTTCAGCTTTGAAGATTGTGTGGTTATGGTCCAATGCCACTACACTACTCTCCCACCAGAATCAACGTGATGTTGGTTCGATACCGAATTGGATGGGATCGTCGTGCGTTGAAGGTTACCAAGACTAGGAAGAATCCTCCGGGTATTGGTAAGCTGAAAGATAAATCAAAAAGAAAGCGGCAGCATCTGGTCGGGAAATACATGTAATAATTTTAAAATATCTGCCTTCATGCTTAAAACGCTTGAAATGAAGATTTGGGTGAAGATTATTTGAGCTATAAAAAATGGGGTTACAATAATAATAATAAAACGATGCGTGTTAATAGCCGTTGGTTAATAACTTACCGTATAGGTAGTAAGTATTTTGTGTTTAGAAGTATTAAAGTAATAAATGTTGTAGAAATATTAATATTGGTATTAGTTTTGACTTAAATTATGAAATCAGTTTACAATTATGCCGGTA